GTTGGTTTTTAAGTTGGAAGAAACAGATTCTCTTTGCACTGGAAAAGGCACATGAGCAGTTAACTAATCAAATTTACTAACACCCTTGGGAATATCGTATCCTCCTGCTACAGTAGGAAGGACTATCACCTTTATATTTGGATACACAATGTATTTTAAGTTATTTTTCTTGTATTTGACATAATGCTACTGTGGATATTCAGAGTGTTAATTTTTAGAAGATACACAAAGCTGAAGTTCTGAAATGGTAACATATCCTGATATTGGAATCTTTATGAATGACTTGGCGTCAAGGAGGTGGGGAAAGTAGGGTACAGTATGGGCGTAAAGCAAACAGGATAAATACAGTTGGTGACCCTAGAGTAAAAGGTACAAGGCTGTTCAGTGTGACGTTCTTCCAGCTCTGCAAGGGATCTGAAATTTTTTAAATGAACAAGCCTAACTCCTAAAATTATAAAGTTTTTTTAAAATATCAGAAACATTAAGAGACACCTTTACAAATGAAATAAGAATTGACAACTTCTTCCTTGATCTACACTATATTTAACGTTGCTAAAATTCATGTGCAAACATGAAACTCCAGGCCATCTTCAAATGTTTCTGTCTCTTAAACAATTATAAACTCCAGTTTCAATTAAATGTCAATATAAAAGCCAATTCAAAATAGCAACATGATGATGTAATAAGACGGCTTGTGTATATATTTTGCTGAAATTAAGTCACCACTAAACATAGGAGATTGGTTGTGAATGCATCAGTACAATTTTCTTTTTGAAATTACCCTGTCTGTGGAATACTCTGCCAAAGGGCAACTTACTCTCCATCCTGCTCCTGTTCTCATTGCAGCTACAATAAAACCTTTGTGCAGTGCACAGTGACATAGTGTAACTATCAACTGAAGAGTAAATAACTTAGTATTAGACTGCAATGTTTTTTATACTATCAGGCTACCAGTTCATAACTTGTTAATTTATCAAATTTTTTTTAAAGATTTATTCTTAATTTTTATTGGGAAGTCAGAAATGCCGAGAGGAGAGAGACATAGAGGAAGACCTTCCGTCCCATGATTCACTCCTTAAGCAGTCACAATGGCCAGAGTTGCACCATTCTGAAGCCAGGGGCCAGGAGCCTCTTCCGGGTTTCCCACATGGATGTAGGATTTCAAAGTTTTGGGCCTTCTTTGACTGCTTTCCTAGACCTTAAGCAGGGAGTTGGATGGGAAGTGGGGCCACCGGGACAGGAACTGGTGCCCACATGTGATCCCGGCGCATCCAAGGCGAGAACTTTCCAAGGAGAAAACTTTAGCCGCTAGGATAACATGCCAAACCGTCAAAACTGTTTCTAAATTGTGCATTATTACTGTAAAAGGGAAGTTTAAAATTTGTAACTGGTAGGTTTAATATGAGGACAATTGAAGTGGGATAATCTTTTTTCATTTTTACTTTAGCATGTACCAAATGAATTGCAGTCAGATATTTGTACCTCTGTAATAGAAGCTTATCAATTGCTGCCACTTAAGGTTATCACTGAATGCAGTCAGAGTAACTGCCGTTGGCAGAGAACTAGATTGGAACTGGGGCAGCTGGGACGTGAACCAGCGTTCATGTGGAAGCCCCGTGCCACACGGTGGAGGATTAACGTGCTGATCCACCACACGTGCCACACATCATAGAGTAACTTAATGGGACATTGCCTGGGACATTAATGGGACATCATGAATAAGCTTAGCTGATGAGAACAAGAAGCAGTCAGTATGGAGATAGGCCAGTAGTCATTGTCTCCTTTAAGGAATGGAAAGAAAGGAATCTGAAGAGAAATGAAGAGGAATGTGTGAGACACCATCCAGCATATCATTATATGAACTTTGAAAAGACAGAGGAGGGAGAAGGTCTGAAGGAGTAATAACCAAAATCTCCCTGAATTGTGGGGAAAACACCAAACCCATAAGCACCGATAGCTCAGGGAACACCAGGAAAGACAGATTTCGAGAGCTGTTGCTGAAAATGTTACATGATTGCTTAAGAAAGAGACACAGCCAGCAGAAGCCATTCAGTAAGATCACAAAGGGGTATGTTTAATGTAGTAAAGGAAAAAGATTGCCATTAAACAATTTTATGCCCAATAGACAGCTCATCAAAATAATGGATGAGAAATTGAGATATGTCCATAAACTGAGTAGTTACTTGGTAGTAGGCCTGCTAGAGCAAATACTGGCCAGTCTTTCAGGCTGAGGCAGTTACACAGTGCTAGATACCATATACTTTGTATATATAGAACAATGAAGAACAGTGGTAAAACAAAAATGCACATATAATGTACAATGTATAGTTTAAATCATCTGGCACTAGTTTTCCTCTGATTTAAAAGCTAGTTAAATTCCAATTATGAAATCATTTAATAGACGTAACAATAAGATGTAATTTTCCTGGCCGTACTAATGCAGCAATGCAGAGCAGAGGGGTCATATTACTGGGCAAGCTCTCTATATTATATTATTAAATTGAAGTTAGTGGCTACCTTAACTAGATTGTTTTCAATTACCATGCAAATCATAACCTCCAGGAAATCCACGATCAAATATATTTTAAAAGAAGAAATAAAAACATCCTAGGAAATATTTAACAGAAATGAAGACAAAAGTAGAGGGAATTTAAGGACAAAAAGAAAAATTACAGGTATAATTCATATCTTAGAGAATTGCATTAAATGTAAGTTAAACATTCTCAAAATGCAGATATTGGCACAATGACCTTCACAAAACAGCAGGACTCATTTATGCACCGTTTATAAGAAACACACTTCATGGCAAGGCACAGTGGCTTAGCGGTTAAATCCTTGCGTTGCATGCACTGGGACCCCATGCTGTGCTGGTTTGTGTGCCAGCTGCTCCACTTCCCCTCCTGCTTCCTGCTTATGTCCTGGGAAAGCAGTAGAGGATGGTACAGAGCTTTGAGACCTGAACTTGCATGGGAACAAGCTCCTGGCTTTGGATCAGCTCAGTTCCAGCCATTGTGGTCACTTGGAGTGTGAACCAGTGACTGAAAGATCTTTCTCTCTGTCTTTCCTTCTCTCTGTAACTATGTTTCCAATAAAAATAATAAATTTTAAAACACACACCTCACATTCAAACACAAATAACTTGAAAGTAAAAACATGGAAAAATGTAGTGTGAACAGCAAACAAAATTGTGTTTAAGTAGAAACTTGTAGAAGAAACAGACACTCTGTAATAAGACAGTTATAAACAGGACTGAAAACAAGCTCTGAAATACATGAAAGTAATGTTGGAAAAAAAAGCAGGAAAAATACTTGAAACAGAGTTCTTGTTACCTTAAATACTCTGCTCAGTGAATGAAATGACTGGAAATTACAACAGCATTTTGAGAAGTAGGTGAGTGGACAGATATTCACTCATCCGATTAGAATGTTTGCTCTCCCAGATTGATCCATGTCTAACTCAGTTTTTGTACAGAAGATACAAGTGAAAAAAAAAAGAGTTGGGTAGAGTTCTGTTCTGAATTTGAAAGCTTATTTGTCAGCTAGTTATTAGGACAGTGTTGTGCTGGCACTAGGGTAGATGTATACTGATAAACTGATTAGAAATAACAATCCAGGAGTCAGTTGTTCGTTTTCCAGAAAGATGCCAGAACAGTTCACCAGAGGAAAAAAGAATCTTTTCAATAAATGTTGCAGGGCAACTGGATGGCAAAAAGAGGAACTTCAACCTTTACTTCAAGCTCCACTGCAGGAGCTAAGACTGCAGACAGGGAAGGCAGGAGAAAATACTCGTATCTGAAGTCGTCATCCGTGTGCAACGCAAAAAGCCCAGTCTGTGTAAAGAAATCAGTTGGACCCTAACAACATTCAAAACTTTTGTCCTTTCCAACTTTTCATTGAGGAAATAAAAATATAAGGAGCTTAACTTTGAAAATTGTTGTGAAACACATCTGATTTATGTCTAGATATTTCTAAGTACTCAGCTAAAGAGATTGGAGATCCACCTGTATTGCAGACCAGAATGTAAAACAGTGCAACCCAAAATTGATGCTTTCATTACAGTTAAGCATGTTCCTGCCATATGAGCCAGTAGCTGTTGTTTCAGATATACACCCAGGAGATGAACATGTGTCCAGAGAGCTGAACATGAGGAGTGATAGGAAGGTTTTTGCAGTGGTTTCCCAAAAATGGAAGCAGGTGTCCATGTGCAAAAATGGAGTGTTTTGTATACTGTGTGTTATTCAGAAATTTAAAAAGTCAGAACTACATGTTAAAATGTGTATGACTTTGAAAGATGTCATACAAACCACAGAATATATGGCCATATTGTCAAGACCATATGTTCTATTTCATTTGTAGAAATTGTCCAGGAAAGCAAATTTAAAGAAGCAGAGATAGTGCTTGCTTACGGAAGTAATTGGCAAAAAGGGTCTTACTAGATGTGGAAGGTTTTAAAAGATTGTCCAAAACTTATTTTGGTGATGGTTGCACCACTAAAAACACTGAGTAAAGAAATCATAGAATTGCATTCTTACAGTGGATTAATTTTAGTAAGTTATTTCATGAATGTGTTTCCTTAAAACATGTAGAAAAAAATTATGTGTTTTTTTATTTGTCCAGATGTCTTATAATGTTGATATTGCCTTCTGTATTACAGCATTAAGATCTTAAGATAAGCTTTAAAATTTCCAATTATTTCGAGCTATTAATGCTTTTATGTTTATATTAGTGGAAGTATTAGTGGGTCTCCAATTCAGACTTGCATTGGCATATACATTCATTGTTTTGTGTAACCATTGTTTTTCTTACACTCAAAAACAAAGCACAATTTAACATATCTTCCTTATATTTAAATATTAAACATATCTGTTGGTTTTGTAAGCGTTAGACATTTTTCATTGTGGAAACATTTGATGAAAAATGCCAGCTCCAGCTGAAATTAGCTTTGTTCCATTTCCTCATTTTACAGTATGTCATTTAGGTTTTGGTTTTGCTACTTTCTAGATCACTGTGTCCACTACTATGATCTTCGTAACACTAAGCAGCCAATCATGGTATTCAAAGGACACCGGAAAGCCGTCTCTTATGCAAAGTTTGTGAGTGGTGAGGAAATTGTCTCTGCGTGAGTATTACTCTCCTCCAGGCTGAGCTCCTGCAAGGCTCAGTGGTCAGAGTCGCCTGAGATGGGAACCAAGCAGAGCAGGGAGCCATTTGTACCTCTTTCCATACATAGTAGATCTTGTATTTCGCCCCACTAAGATACAGGGATATTCTGCTCAGCAACGCTTAATTTCTTAGTTTTTTTGTGCATAAAATCCTGAAAGTAATAGTCTTGAATGTGACACCTTTTTGTGAAAGACTCATTTAATTGCACTTGAAACTTGATCAAATTTTGGCCACTGCTTCTCCTGAAGAAATAACATAGATGATATAGTATTATGAAAAATATATTTATGCACTTGTATACCATAGTAGAATGACTTTAATTTAATTTTATTTAATTTAATATTTAATATTTGCCTCTGATATGTTGATCTCTGTTATTTCATGGTGGGTTTTTAATGTTTGGGTTTTAATGTTTAAAGCATGATTAGTTACACCTTAAAGTGTCCTTTGAAAAGCCAGCTGATGCTGGACTCTGTGCTTGCAATTAAGGAATCCTGACTGAACTTGAACTGTAATACTGCAACAATGTGGAGGAATCCACCATGTGGGGAAGGGTTAGGGGATTCCCAGAGCCTATGAGACAGCGTCACATAATGCAATGTAATTAATAAAAAAAAATATATAAAACAACAACAAAAAAAGAAAAGCCATCTGAAACTAACAAAGCTAAGCTTCCAGATCTCACTGCTTGGAAAGTGTTAGAGGCCAGTAAGGTCAGTGAATGTCAGAACTTCAACCAAGCATTTCTAGCAATGCAGGCCCTCCCACCTACTCCTTTCTTAAATTCATATTACCCTGGTCCAGCATAATACAGGCCCTGCCACCTTCTCTGCAGTCATGTAACCCTAGGAAGTGCTCATTAGTAAATGCTCTCTCTCTCTCTTTTTTTTTTTTCCATTAGTACTGTTTCTACTCAAGGTTGCTGTTATATCCTTTAAAATCATGTGTTGTCTTCGGTCCCAGTACAATGCCTCAAAGGCTAAATCTTTACTTTGCAATCACTGATATTCCATATGGGTGCTGGTTCATTTCCCAGTTCCTCCACTTCCAGCTCCTTGTTCATAGCCTGGGAAGCAGCACAGGATGACCCAAAGCCTTGGGAATCTGTCTTGGGGAGACCTGGAAGAGGCTTCTCGCGCCTGGCATCTGGCTTCAGAACAGCTCAGTTCCAGCCATTGTGGCCATTTGCAGAGTGAACCAGTTGGCAGAACATCATTCTTTCTGTCTCCCCGTTGTAAATCTGATCTGTCTTTCCAGGAACAATCAATAAATCATTTTTAAAAATCACGATTTTTTATCTCTTCATATGCTTTTAATGACTTTGTCTTATATTTGGTATTTCCCATAACAAATACCTCTGCATTAATTGTGCTAAACAAGAACTTGGTAATTTGAATAGGTTTGGTGAGGTAAATTGAATTGAGTTACAGAAGAGGGAAAAAATAAAGTGGAAACTTAACTCTCTAAGGAAAATAGAGATCATTAGTTGTCAATTTTTTTATTGTTAATAACATTGTATTATGTGATACAGTTTTTTAGGCACTGGGATTTCCCCCGCCCCTCCCACAACCCTCTCCCCATGGCGGATTCCTCCACCTTGCTGCATAACCACAGTTCAAGTTCAGTTGAGATTCCTTCATTGCAAGCATTAGTTGTCAATTTTAAATTGTGTTGTAAAAAGTAAAAAATCAGGTACAAAAATAATTAAAACTTTTATATTCAAATATGGTTGGCAGTTTGTATGGCAAAAAATATTTTTCTTGAATTATGATTTATAAATATTAAATCAATTATTTTGATTTCGGTTGACTGGAATATGTGTGTTTCAATCAAATAAGTTGAAAATCTTAGGTGACTTTATTAAAGGAGATATTAATATGTATTTTCACAAAATCTTTTATTTTTTATAAATCATGATGATTTCCAGATATCTTTGAATCATTATAGTATACAGGCTATATAGAGGGACATGTGCAACAGTGGTCAGTGAAAACAAATGAAAACAATGCTTAAGAATAAATATTAGGTTAAAAAAAGACAAAGGCATTAATCGTTTAGGAGTTTGGCCCCTCAAGTCAGTGTTAACCTTGATTCTATCAATTACCTTGGAAATTACTTGGAAATGTCATTAACCCTCCAAACCTCAGTTTCTCTAAATAAAGCTAAAAGTAGATAGTACTTAATCTTCCATTTTGATTCTTTAATTTGAAGATTTATTTTTATTATTTTTTTTTATTGGAAAGGCAGATATACAGAGAGGAGAGACAGAGAGGAAGATCTTCCGTCCGATGATTCACTCCCCACGTGAGCGCAACGGCCGATGCTATGCCGATCCAAAGCCAGGAGCCTCTTCCGGGTCTCCCATGTGGGTGCAGGGTCCCAAAGCTTTGGGCCGTCCTCGACTGCTTTCCCAGGCTACAGGCAGGGAGCTGGATGGGAAGTGGAGCTGCCGGGATTAGAACTGGCGCCCATATGGGATCCCAGCGCATTCAAGGCGAGGACTTTAGCCGCTAGGCCACGCCACTGGGCCCCAGAAATATTTTTATTGTGGAGAAAAATGTGAAAGAAGTTGTTCATTGGTGAAAGCATGTTTATGAGTAAATTGTTCCCCTTTTTTGACAGGAAGTCAGAGAAAGCGAATATTTTCTAAATACCCTAACATTATTTTTGTATATGACAAAAATACCAGGAGTGTCTATATTAATGATGTGATTTTAGTTTTGTTTTAAAAATAACTTGCATACTCTTTCAGCAAAATAAAGGACATTTCATAGACCCTGTAATTATCCTGTAATTATCCCACACCTATGTGTAAGACTGAGCTGTAGTTTATATGAAGAATTCCAGAGGAACAGGTGTGTCCCTGGAGTTACACAGAACTCCCAGTACAGATGGCGTTCATTGTTTGATGGTGGTGGAGGAGTGGTAGTATTAGGAGGTAATGTTTATTGAGTATTTCATGCCCAGGCACCACAGAAAGCATTTCAAATGAATTTACTTAATCCTACAAAGTAGAAATAATGTTTTACATTCAGTTGACAATCATCTGAGACACTAGGTCTCACAACTTGCCCGTGGTTGGAAGGCAGGTTAATGGCAGATTGAACTTTCTGCCTCGGCTGGTCTGGCTCCAGAGTCTGCTCTTAACCAGAGTGCTCGTGAACAGTAGTGATGCGTGCCATGCCATGTGTACAATCTCGTATCTGTGCCAATCTGTGTTTTTTTTGCCTCAGATCAACAGATAGCCAACTAAAACTGTGGAATGTGGGGAAACCGTACTGTCTGCGTTCCTTCAAGGGTCATATCAATGAGAAGAACTTTGTAGGTCTCGCTTCTAACGGAGACTACATAGCTTGTGGTGAGTGTGGCCTGCTTGCCCAGGGACTCTACGCTGGTGCATGATGGGCTCTGCACTAAAAGTAATACAATAGACTTATTATTGACTTTCCTCAAAATATACTAGAAGCACATTAGCCCTTCAAGTGCAACGTGTTTTTTAACCTCTCTAGATGCAAATTGTTCTAGATGTAATTTAAAATTCTTGTTGTAATAGCAAAATTTTGTTTATTTAGGCCTGTGCTACATCTCTCCATGGCAGTTTCAGCCTCAGAATTAACAGTGCAGCTTTACCCCATAGCACTGATTTCTCTCTTCAGAGTACTAACTGTTGCTTTTGTCTAGGAATTGTTTTCTCACATGAGGCCCTCCCTTAGCCATGTGAGCTGGTCTTTCAAATCTTTCCATAAAGCATACTGCTTTTTATGCTAAAAACATTGTATGATAATTATTGTTTCAGAGTAATATCCTTATTCCAGTTTTCATTCTGAAAAGCTATTTTAATTTATTTTCAGGAAGTGAAAACAACTCCCTCTACCTGTACTATAAAGGACTTTCTAAGACTTTGCTAACTTTTAAGTTTGATACAGTCAAAAGTGTTTTGGACAAAGACCGGAAGGAAGATGACACCAATGAGTTTGTTAGCGCTGTTTGCTGGAGAGCGTTGCCCGATGGGGTAAGTGCTCACATATCACAGAGTGCTGTATTTATACATGGTTGTCTTTGCATGTGATTTCTAAATTTCCAGTTCATTTATGCTGCCTGTGTTGATGGAGTGCAAGGTGACATCTCAGTGCCCGAGTGTCGTATCCGTGATCAGATCGGGCTCATTGGCGTCATCTCAGACACTTATTTATCTGTTCTGGGTATGTTCAGACTCCTCCCTACTGCTTATTTTGAAGTAGGGAGTTGATTGTTGTCTACTCTGCTTTTGAGCATTTAAAAGTTACTCTTCCTATCTAGTGGAATCTTTGCTACATATCCATCATCATCTTCCCCATCACTGCCCCTCCTCCCACCCCCAGACCCACACCTCCCTCCGTCTAAGAAGACGGCATCTCCTCCCCTCTGAGACTGAAGCCTCCTGCAGTGTGCCCTGTGTCCTGCCCTGCTTGGTGACCGTGTCCAGTTATGTGCTCCCAAGCATTCAGCTGAGGTGATGCTTAACAGAAAGAGAAAGGATTGATGCAGGGGAAGCAGAGTGTACCGAATTAAAAGCGATTTCATCGTACAGCAGCTGGCTACAGAATATACAACAATGTTCAAGGCATTCAGTTTCTTAATGAGAAAGTTAGATTACTAGGTTGTGAAAAGATTATTTCCTCAATATTTTCACTTACACATTTTAAAATAATGATTTGTAACTGCCTTGACTTATGTAAACAATAAGCACCCACATATGTCACCTTTTTAAAAACAGTGTTTTAGGTACTTACATGATTGGCGTTATCCGAGAGATGAGGCATTCTGACTTCATGTTGACTTAAAATATCTGAGTGCCAGGTACAGTTTCACTTTAAATAGATATTCCATTATTCTTGTTTAAAACTCTGTGAATCATCTTCCAGCTTTGATAATGACAGACCAAGTAATTTAGAACAACCCTTCCTCTAAGTAAAATTGGAAAAGTTGAAGCAGGTGTTTATTTTAAAAATAAAAAGCCCATTTGACATTAGAAACCAAATAAGGCAGAAAGGAAAAAAATAACAGACTAGACATGAGAGCCAGGCTTTTAAATCTACTCTGCCTTGGAGCATTTGTTAGTGTTGGTAAGATGAGTGAAGTATGATCTCAACTTATAGAGACACTGGTAGTGTAGCTCAGTGCCTGTCATTGTGGGTTTGCTGTAAGTCCTCGATGGATTGTACCCTCGGGTAAAGCAGTAGGAGATAAGCTTTTATAATAATTGTAATTCAGTTTCATTTCGTATCAACCACTGAAATTGCTGAACTGAGATGACCTTGGATTCCTAACGTTAATAGGATACAAATTTAAATTCTCTCAGAAAGCAAATAACATTTAGGATTTTATGTTTTTTTTTTTCATTATCTTTGCAAATATAACCAGGGCATAATCAAACATTGAAGCTGAAATGACAGCATGAAAACCCAGTGTAAGCAACATACAGTGTAAACAGTCCCAACGGCAGTGGATGTAAGAGTGATTGGCCATAGCTTAAAAGTATGTGAATGCTAAGATGAAAGACAGGGTTGAAAATGGGAACTTGGCAAACTTCTTAAATGAAGATCCTAAGCTAAAAAATATAATTACCAAAACTCAAAACTCAGTGAGTTGAATACAAGATAGAAGAAGAATTAATGAACTCATAGGTGTGGTAAGTTAGGAGAAAATATATAGAAAGAAGCATGGGCAGAAAAAAATTTGAAAATAGTGCAGGAATAAGTAAAAGCATCATGTTTAATAAGCTATACAGAAGAATAAAAGAATCTAGAAGAGTAAAAAAGAATAAATGCTAAAATGAATTATAACTGAGATTTTTACAGTTTATGAAAGGCTATGGAACATTACTCACCCATAAAATGGAGTGAAATCAGGCCCCCAGTGTGGTAGTCTAGTGACTGAAGTCCTTGCCTTACAAGCACCAGAATGCTATGTGGGCACCAGTTAGTATCCTGGCCGTCCCGCTTCCCATCCTGCTCCCTGCTTATGGCCTGGGAAAGCAGTCCAGCACAGCCAAAAGCCTTGCCACTTGGGGAGTGAATCAGCAGATGGAAGATCTTGCTCTCTGTCTCTTCTCCTTCTCTGTGTATTTGACTTTCTAATAGAAATAAATAGAGTGAAATCTTATCTTAGAAGCACAGAAAATAGATGCAATGGAAATCCATTTTGCTTAGTGAAATAAGCCAGTTGCAAAAAGATATTCTATTTTCTGTTAATGTGGCAGTGAATATAGACTACAAAGAAGTAATAGGAATGAAATGGAAATCTAGTAATCTGATTATCTTTTTTAGTACATATTTGTACTCTTGTAACGATGGTAGTCTTTTTTTCTTGTTGAATATTATGGTTCAGTAGTGAATTAAGCTGTGGTTAAGGAGTGAATTAAAAAAATTTTTTTTTTTGGTAAAAATTAATGAAATGAATAAAAGAGCAAGAAGGAGTGGGAATGAGTTGATTGAGAAGTATGATTCTCAGAACCATAGCTATGATGTAACGTGAGAGTTACTCTCTTTATATTCTTAAAAATAGAAGCTTAAATCATGAATAACATGTGCTGAAATTAATAATACATACCTTCAGGCATGGACTTTATCGTTGTTTCATGTATAATTGCATAGTAATTATTTGAAACCAAAGAAAGGTAGTCATCAAGGTGCAGAATATTTTTGCTGTCTAGTATAGACGTACTGGAACCTGTATGACATTATATGACACCATCAGGATCATGTCAGGCTGAAGGAAGCTCATCTCCTGACATGAGCTATCCATGTGGACCTATGTAATCATTTCAGAATTACTATTTTTATTTGGGGGATATACATACATACATACATACATATGTATATGTAGCTATTCCAGCCTATTTTGCCTGTTTTCAAAGACAACAATTTCTAAATGTGAATATGGAAATTCATATTACTACTAGCTAATATTTTCACCAGATTTATGTTACCTGTTCCTCTCCTTACTCTAATATGTTAACATTATTTCCCATTCAGCCTTCTCTCAAAGACATTTCTAAAGAAATATGCATGCTATTTGATTTCTTAGAAACAGATTTTGTGTACATCATCAGATTGCACTAAACTTCGGAAGCAACCTTACCTGGCGTACATAACATTTTGTACCAGTGGTTCTTAAACGTAACCATCAGAATCACTTGGGAACCTTTCCATATGCTTATCAAAATGTTTCCACTTTTCAGTCCATAGATATATATTTCAAGGAAGAAAATGGTGAGTGTGAAGAAGTATGTGTGTATCTCAAAATTGTTTTTCCACAAAAAGAAATATCTTTTAGTTCCATTTCCATGAATTTTTAGAAATAGAAAAATACATGGAAATGGAAAGAAAGAGTTCCCCAAGGATCCTTGTGAAATTATGTCAACAGTGGCATTTAGGGACAGATGAATCAGGCTAGCCTTGGAAGAGGTTTGTCACAGATAGCAGCGCAGAGACCTAAACTGTGTGCCCGAGGACTTAGGGTAAACAGAGAGGACTTAGGGTAAAAGAGCCCAGAGGCTCTTCGATTTCGCTCTTCCCTCGTCCACCACAGGAACGCTTTGCCAGTCAGTTGCCTATATGAACCATAAATAAGATCTCGCCTTCTCTCTTTTATTTAGTAGAAAACTGTTATCCTTATTAAGCTATGTTAATATTATTCCTAAACTCCTCAGCAAACACAGCACAGGAACTCCATCTCCTTCCCACCCGCATTCTCTGTTCCTCTTCTCCCTTTTATCTTTCCTTTTCTTTCCTTTCCTTCCTTCTTTCCTCTAGCTGGATGGTTTAGAACATTGTAGAAAATATTCCTGACTGGAAGAGGGCCAGTCTGAATGAACTCCTGTCTCTCTTGAGAGTGAAAGGAAAGAAGATGCTGGGCATGGACCTGTGGTTCCCGTCTCTCCAGAGGCTCCTCCTCCTGGAGGGTCCAGGCTAGAGCGTGGTGGTACCTGGGAAAGGGAGGAGGCAGGCAGCTGGGAGAAAATCAGCAACCTCCTTCTCTAGTTTTTTCTCTGTGTAAATTGTTTGAGGTCTGATTTTTCTGTATTTTTGATGTCCAGTACTGTATGGGCTTCCCCTGAGAAAATATTTATACATTAAGTATTTCGTGATGAGTATTGTAATAAAAATCAGCAAAAATATTCCTTGGGGTCCACCAGTTTACATATTACATAATTTGCTGTTTTGTGCATAATTTATGAATTATGAAGCATTGATTTGACACAAACCTAAAGATCCTTGTTTTTGTTCTGAGTTCTGCCTTTTTAGGAGGCAATAATTATGTTGAAAATATCTTCTGAAATATGACACTGGCTATACCTTTCTTTATTACTCCAGGATGCTTAGAAGCATCCAGAATGTTTTGACGTAGGAAGAGATTTAGTTTGCTTTCTACTTGTTTATCTTCTGATTGTTCTAACAATTTTCCATAGTGGTAATATAAAAAAGGAAAAAATAATATATATTGACTCTTCCTTAACACATATTTTTTAATCAATACTTCATGAATGTTTGAATATACTGAAGTATACTTAATAGAGATTATTTTTCCTAGTTCAGTAAAAGTGTATTCAATGAGTACATAAACCAGAATTAACCAAGCAAAAAAAAAAAAATTGTGTTTATGAAGTGAATGACAACTTCCTAGGGGAACAGTGTGCCCTGCTAACTTGCATGTTTGCTGTCGGGGAAGAGAAGGACCTCGTTGAACTGACATGATCATCTTTAATTGTACTAGTGAAGGACTGCATTAAGGCAGGCTGAACCAGCTTGTCAACTCATAAGCAATGATTGATATGGATGTATGGGTAGTTACTTTATATGGTTTTATGTTTCATATCGAAAGAAATAAGTTTCACAACATCAAAATTCAGTAGGAGTCCCTACCTAGAGAAAATATTTTGTCAAAGTTTTCTGTTTTGTGAAAAATTATGTTTTCCTTTCAGTCCTTTTACATTTTTCTGGATTTTTAAGCTCTGGCAACTCTTTTCCC